ATACCAGCAATAAAAGCAAAGTTCAAAAAAGCAGAGGATAATAAATGCTGGTGAGGATGTGGAGTAGCAGGAACCCTCCTACATTGCTGGTGGGAATGTAACTGGTTCTACCACTCTGGAAAACAATATGGAGCCTCCTCAGAAAGTTGGAAACAGAAATACCATATGATCCAGCAATTCCTCTACTTGGTATATATTCACAAGAAATACGAGCCATAACATGAGTAGATATATGCATACCAATGTTCATAGCAAAAAGATGGAGACAACCTAAGTGCTCATCAATGGAAGAATGGATAAACAAACTTTGGTACATACACACAATGGAATATTATGCTACCTTGAAGAACAACAAGGAAGCAGCAAGCTACCATATAACATGGATGAACTTTGAAGACATTGTGCTGAGTGAAATTAGTCAATCACAAAAGGGCAAATACTGCAAAAGACCATTATTGTAAAAGCTTAAGAAAAGATACCCATACTAAAAGGAAAAAAAAAAAAAATCTTTGTTGGTTACCAATAGGAGTGGAGGCGGGGAGTAGAGGAAGGAGATGGTAGAGCACAGGGTTGTTGCTGTTAAGTGCCGTGGAGATGGTGCCCACTTATAGTGACCCTGTACAGGGTTTCCAAGGCTGTAAATCTTTACGTGAGTAGAAAGCCTCATCTTTCTCCTGTGGAATAGCTGGCAGTTTCGAACTACTGACCTTGTGGTTCACAGCCTGATTTATAATCATTATGCTACCAAAGCTCCTTAGAGCACAAGGTAGGAGGTAGGCATTATCATAGTTCAGGTATTCTATTCGGGGAGGGCAAGACACAGGACGGTGAAGGGAGGCTGAAGAACAAGGTAGATAATGAGACAAGTCTGCATGGGCTAAATGGGACAGAGGTAAATAGTGATGCATGCTCAACCTTGGAACAACAGGGTTCTGTGATACAGGGATCAAGGCATAGTATGAAGAAGGGAAATAATGTTAAGATGCTTGACTGTCATATGAATATTTGTTTCCCTTACTTATTATTGTAAAATAGACACTTGAGTGGGATAGAAAGAAGTATTGGGAAACACGATTACAGAAAGCCTGTAAGCCCGTCTACAGCCTATAATTGATTAGAATACCTAAAAGGGGTTCTAGAACTTGCCCAGTGAAATAGGCTTCTTTTTGAGTTTTTTGCAGTGCATAAAACCTGAGGTGGAATCCTGAACCCTACCCAGAACCTTCTAAGGAGGGACATCCCCACTAGAAAGGACAAGCAGACCAGCCTGGAACAGCTAGAGCAACAGAAGATACTTCTTGAAAGAAAGATAAGCAGGAAAAATCCAAGGCAAAAATGGCAGGCTGAGTGGCTACTACAAGAACAAGCAAGTTGTTTGCCAGGGAGTCATCAAGGCAAGCAAGCAATCAGGTCCCTTCAGGACAAACCTGAAACTCAAAGGGAACACATGAGCAGAAATGTAAGCTTGCTGGTGACCATGTTGGTCTACTGGTAAGTGGAAGAGGGGGAAAGGCAGCAATGATGAAGAAATGGGTTGAGTTTAACCATGTTTCATAGACTCCCGCTGACTTGGAGATGAGAGAGAGAAGAGGAAGGGCTGGTTGGGCTGAAGTGTGATAAGACCTGGGGACACCTGATATACAAACGGCCAAGAGTATAGGAAAATATGTTTAACAATATTAGTCATTAAGAAAATTCAAATTTAATATAGTTCACCAAGACAATGCACTACATCCTACTTTGGTATGTGGCAGCTGGGTTCTTAACAGTTCATGAGTTGCCTTCAAAGGTGCAACTATTGATTTCTCCCTATCCAAAGAAAAGAAGAGTGGAAATTGAACACTCATAGAAACAATTAGTGCAGTGGACTAATGGATCATGTGAATATCCATCTGCATGGCACTGAGATCAGAAGAACTAGATGGTACCCAACTACCATTAGCAACTGCACTGAATGGGACATTAAAAAGTACTGGATACTATCTGGGGAAAATGTGGAACAAAACTCAAAATCAGAAGAGAAAAACAAAGGACCAGGCACACTGGTCAAATAAAAATTGGAGTAATCTTGAGACTATGGCCCTTAGTCACCCTTTACATCTGGAACTGAATTCAGTCAAACAATGCATACATAGGTCTATTTAAGCAGAACACTAGAGAGACAATCAACCTTTTGAAATCAAAAGAGCAGCATTTACCCAAGGACAAAGTTCAAAAAGGTTAGAGAAATCGAAACAAGAAACACAAGAGAGGAAATGGGATACATGACTGCAATCAATATAATGAAACAAAATGTGTATGAATTGTGAAATGTAAAACTAATGATCTACTTTGTAAACCTTCACCCAGGTCACAATGTAAAGTTCTGTTTTCTTTCATGAAAATCGAAACCACAATGAGATGACAGTTCACACTCATTGTTGTTAAGTGCCCTCAAGTCGTTTCCCATTCATAACGATGCTGTATAGGAGCAGCTGGTGGATTTGAACTGCCAACTTCATAGTTAGCAGTTCAGTGCTGATCTTACAGCACCACACCAGGAGTCCTCACACTCATTACGACAGCTGTAATTTGATAAACAGAAAATGACAAATGTTGTCAGGTATGTAGAGAAATGGGAACTTTCGTCTATGGTGGTAAGAACGTAAAATTGTGCAGCCTCTGTGTAAAGCATTTGGTAGTTCCTCAAAGT